AAGCATCTCCAACCCAGAGATACAGAACTCACTATTTCCTTTTACGCTATATTGAAACATTTAAAAGATTTCCCGGGGGCCAGCAGGTGGCATGGCGGTTAAGATGCTAGAATTCCCACATGGCTGGCCATGGTTTGAGTCCCGGACCTGGCAGCTTGCTTTCTAACCCTTCCTCTCTCTCTCTGGCAAATTCATGTGAAAAATAATATTAACAATAATAATAATAAATAAATAAATCTTTAAAAAAAAAAGATTTCCCGGGCTTTGACTATGTCACTTACCTTTCACCTATAGATCATAATTCTACCTTTGAGACACGGTACTCCACCCCGCTAATACCTGAAGGCAGCCCTCAAATACGGTTTTCTAGACTAAACATTCCGGTTTTTAACCTATTCCTCTGACTGGCATGTTCTGCAGCAATCTAACCATTGGCCCTGGCCCTCCTTTTGACACCTGCTCATTTCATCGACACACTATTAAAATGACGTTAAGATCAGTACAGTCAAAATACAATGGGATCTTAGCTCCCGAATTCTAGCTAACGAATTTCAATTAATGCAACCTCAAATTGCACTGGCTTTATACATATGTTGAATGTCAGATGAGAGCAACTTCCTGTAGGGGTTGGACAATGGTTAGTACCCCAAATTGCACGTTTTGGGTTTGGTCTTAGTGGGCAGTGACTGGGTGTCACCCAGAAATTCACATGTTGGGACCTGACTATATTTTAACAGTATTAAACAAAAACCTAATTCCTACAGAGCAGGGGCTCCACGACAGAGTTCCGGTAGGGCTTATAAGCAGAGGGAATGAGACCAGAACAGCGGAGAAGGCCCTATGGATATAGACCATGCTCCATTCTGCTAAAAGTTCTGCCTTCCAGCCTTTTGTGCCTTTCCAGCCACTGGAACTGTTGAATCATTAAACATCTCTTAATTTATTTATTTTCTGCTATAGGCATGTACGCTGGCCAGAGAGACAGAGAGAAGGAAAGTGAGAAATCACCCCTGGGGGGGATAGGGTATGGCCACACCACAATCCCTTCTCATGTAATCTCCTCTCAGGATTCTGGGCACACAGCATGCATGCACACACATATGCATACATGTCTAGAGTGATTTTCAAGCCATCAGTCAGGGATTTGAACCATGTAGCTGGTTATGTGGGATCCAGTGGCTTAACCTCCACCTACACATTGGCCTTTAAATGTATACTTTTATAAATTCACCCACCCGCAAGTATTTCTGTGAAGAACACAATGATGGACTGAGATACCTCCTAAAACGTGATTCTTGCACACATGACCCTGCTAAGCTACCACCTGTATAGGTGGATTTAGAGGCCAAGATTACAGGACTTATCTGTCATCCATTTCAGTTTCCTACATTCTTGCCGGTCAAGATTTTTCTGGATCTGTATTCTGACACTACAGATTTACTCTCTCAGCTGTTGCGTTTGAAGATATGATCAGCATGTAAAAGTCACTAACAAGACAGCGGAGCTGAGGACAAAACTGCCAGGGGCTGGTCTTCCTATTAATCGGGCGCATGTGCATGCGTGCCCAAGATCCTGAGAGAACAGAGGAGAAAGGATTGTGGCATGGCCATTCCCCTGGGGGTTGATTTCTTGCTTTCTGTTTTTGGCTTTCTGGTAAGCACACGTGCCCTATAGCAAAAACCTCTCAAAAAAATTATTTTTTAATTTGACCAGTGAGAGAGAGAGGAAAAGTGAGAAAGCAAGTGTCAGACGAAGACTTGAACCACAGTGGGTCATGAGGGAATCGAGCCTTAACTACCCCGCCACCTGCCGACCTCAATACCTACACAGTTGTTAGTGAATCCCTGCAGGAGGCCCCAAGGCCAGTAAGTGCTCAAGGCCGTAAGGACTCAATAACAGAATCTCACCCAGAGTGGGAGTTAGGCTTCCTGAGCTGCAGTTCACAGAACTCGCCCTCCTTCCCTCTGAAAATCTGAGCACTCTGGACTTTCAAAGGCTACTACAGACCCATCAATAATATTGTAAACAAACCCATTACACACTTCCCCCACCCTGAGTGATAAACAATACACAGGAAATGCATTTTTTAAATCAGTTGAAGTCATTTCACACACATTCGGTAGATAAGCACACCAAGCGTTACCTTTGTTAGCTATCTAAACAATGTCACTGCATCAAAATCAGAATCAACCAATATTTATTGCGGACATACTGTGTGACACACCCACTCACATCCATTCCTTCACTTTTCCTCTCAACAGCCTAGAAGGAAATACTATTACAGCCCATGAGGCACTGCCTTCGATCTACGACTGGCTGGGGTGAACTGTGGCACCGGGGCCCTAATGGAGGTTGCCTATCTCTCTCACTCATGGAAGAAATAAACTTGAAAAAAAAAAAAAAATCTGGAATTGGCAAAAATGTTCTGATGGTTGAAGCTAATGGGTGATGAGTAAATGGGAAAGTTTTAATACTATTTTGTCCCAACCCGGGGGGACAGCCGAACGGGTTTCCTGAGTGAAGGAGTGAGAGCCGGGGCAAGCAGCGTAGTGTTACAGCACGGAGACGACAGTGTCGTCTGTTTATTGTGGGCAGCACGGTACAGCACAGAGACGACGCAGTGTCACAGCTCTTAAGGGTCGCGTCGTCTACTGTGAGCAGCACGGAGACGACGCGGTATCACAGCTCTTCAGGGTCGTCCAGAGACGATGTAGTGTTACAGCTCTTCAGGGTCTCCCAGGTCGTCTGGAGACGATGCAGTGTCAGCTCTTCAGGATCCTCAGGGTCGTCTGGAGACTGCGCGGTGTTTCAGCTCTTCAGGCTCTTCAGTTGTCGTCTTCCTGGTCTGGGTACTGTGGGCCAGGCATCGTGGTTATATACACTCTGGTGGGTTGTAAACGGTGGGCCGTGATTGGTTGCAAATGGTGGGCTGTGATTGGTTGCTTTTGGACCAATCATGAGGTGCCCAATATGCAAATTTGAGGGATTCTAGTGGCCAATCAGAGCAAGGTTTCGAAGGTCAGGTTTTTGGAAGGGAACCAATCATGGTAATTGTTTGCTCTCTGAGAAACCTCGGCAGACTCGCCTGTGCAGCTTCCCACACTATTTCACTACTCTTGTATGTTTGAAATCTAACTAAGTTCTTCAAAAGTAACTAGGGGGGAGGGAGGTGGGCAGGTGGCGTGGTGATTAAGATGCTGGACTCCCACTTGGGCGACAACAGTTCAAGGCTCGCCAGAAAGACAGAGACAGAGAGACAGAAAGCGAGAAATCACCCCCCAGGGGGGATGGCCCCGCCACAATCCTTTCTCCTCTCTCCCCTTCTCTCATCAAATTAAATAATAAATAAAATAAAAAAGTATTTAAAAAAAATAACTGGGGGGAGGGAGAAGGGAAGCAGGTGGTAAGGCGGTTAAAGTAGCTGGACCCCACATAGCCAAGCTCACCATTTCAGTCCTGGACCCAGCAGCTTGAAAAACATGGCAAGCTGGGACTAGTAGTTAGCATAATGGCTATGTCGCTGGACTCCCATGTAGTCGACTGCGGTTCGCGTCCCGGACCGGGTGGCTTAAAACTCACGCAGGGCGTGTGTGCATGGTGCCCAAGATCCCGAGAGAAGAATGGAGAAGGGATTGTGGCGTGGCCATCCCCCCTGGGGGGTGATTTCTCACTTTGTCTCTTTGTCTGGCGAGCGCACGTGCCCTATCGCAAAAAACCTCTCCAAAAAACAAAAAAAAAAACATGGCAAGCCCACGTGTGCGCGTGCGGCCAAAATCCCAAAAGGAAGGAGAAATGGAGGAGAAGGGATTGCTGCGTGTCCGCCCCACATTCTTCCTCACTTTCCTTCTCTGTCTCTCTCCAGGAAAAACACACATCCTTTGGCAAATTCAAACACAAACAAACAAAACAGTGACCTGGAGGAAGAACATTTCAGGAGCCGGCGTGGCATATGCAAAGTCACTGGGGCACTAAGACAATGTGTCTGAGGGGAGAAAGTGACTCTGAAACACAAACAAGGGCCGGTCCAGAGGTAGTGGTTGAGGGACCAGATCCTACAAGTGACTGTGAGTTCAAAT